TTCGTTTAAATAAGAGAGTTCCAAACCCAATACAAAACTATATACACTGGGAACAGATGTCAAGTATAATTAGAATTACAAGCAGCATAAACAATATTAAGCAAGGAATTTATGCTAAATATTTTAATAAATATTTTATCCTAAGGAGTCTAAGTCTTGTATAGGAAATGGCTTGGCTAGATCATAAGAGTGCAGTAACTATGTCTATCAAATCTTCAACCCCATCAAAAGCCTGAGAAGGGAGATATTACTTGAGCAGGCAGGAAGTACAATCAAGCAGCTTCCAAAGTGAGCAATATATGATGGAGACAATTAGCTACCTAAACAATTACCCAAAGTCTCATTTTGCAACGTTGAAGCAACCAACTTTGGCTAAGGCCTAGCATAACTGACAGTCCATTTTCAGAGGCAGGAAATTTTTCAGAACCATCTTACCCTGTCTTGGCAAGATTTGACAGTCTTTTCCTTGTGTCCTGCTTATCCATTTCTGAACACCATGTACTTTGTCAGTGTTTGAGGTATGGGCAGTTCCTTGTTCAAAGGTCAAGTGTGCCAAGAAGAAAACTCCAAGTGGAGTGTCTTCAGTGCTCAACATTCTCTTGGGAGTAGATTGGTGCTGTCAGGAGCAATCATGTCTCATGTCAACAGAACCCTAAGTTATTTAAATGTCTTGTTCTACAGATCCTTGAAGTGGTTGAAGAATACCTATCTAGACAGAATACAGTCTATGTATCTAAAGAACCTAATTGATTTGACTGTATGTACAACAAACATGAACAACTACTGACCTATAATATTTAATACATATATAACTTAAAGACTAAAACTTCATGTCAATATTAATCTGTAAACAGATGTGCAACAATGAGGACACTGACCTCAAAATGTAAACAGTCTATAAGTATCTTGACTTAGAGGTAGTAGTAATATATAATGCAATAATGAAAATATATCCTAAAAGTTGTATCAATATACAAAATGTCCTAAACATACATATATACAATCTGACAGAATAACTTTGCGTAGGTGTACAAATAATGTAAACAAAATAACAAATATAATTTGAACTTGTATCAATACACAAAACTGTATCAATGTAAATTATCCATAAATAATAGCTCGCAAGTATTCACTCTATTACCCATTTTTATTATCCTTTTTTTTTATAGAACATAGTTTTCACCCCAACCCTCTATCTAGTTCAAGTAATAATCAACAACCCCTAGTGTTCCCAACCCTAAGGACAAACTTTTTTTTTTGGGATAGGTGGCATCCTCTAGAATTGCTTCTTGCTGTCATGGGGGCAATATTCTCTTAATAGGATCCTGCAAAAGGAAAGTGATGGTTAAGTTTCAAAATTACTGTCTAGTGTAGTAGCAAACAATTTCTCAGCAGTCTTAGCGCTTTCCAAAATTCTTATTTGGAGTTCTGGCCAGAACGTCATGAGAAGGTGTGCCATTTCAGCAACTGGTACCCAAAAAACAGGTCTTATAGTAGCACTATCAGCATCACAATGTCATCACAACCAGGCAGAGTTGTTGCTGTGGGGCCCCATCTTATTCTTGGAAACTTCAAATATTATTGCAGTCTGCAGTTGTGACCGAGCCGCAGAGGAAGCAAGATGTGACTGCCTGGCCAGAAAAGGTACCAAGCCACATGGTTAATTCAAATAAGAATTATGGGTGTTAATGTAAGTATAAGAATTAGTTAATAAGAACCCTGAGCTAATGGACCAGTTTATAACTAATGTAGACCTCTGTGTGATTCTTTGGGACTAGGTGGGACAGAAACATCAATCCACAAACATGACCTAACATATTTATGATTTCAGCTTCTATGGCCTGGGTTTCTGGGATCTTGACAAGACTTACTGGCTTCCATTGTGTCTATTCTGCAGGAAGTCAGCTACTTGTTGGACAGTTTATTTCACAGCCTGTTTATTCATCCCCATTAACATGGAATTCACACATATATTGGTTGTAGAGAGCTTGCTTCCATCCTGCCTTAACATGAAAATTCCTCAACTAGAACCACACAGAAGGCATCTTTCTGGCCCTTTGCAGCTCCGTCCTTCACAGATTGTTTTCTTCTGGATGTCTCCTGTCTGCCGTTGGCAGCTTTTGTTTTTCCAGCTGTGGTGGTTTGTTCCCAACAGCCCATGACAACTTTTTGCCCTGCCTGGTTTTTCATTCCCTCCTTCCAGATAGGGTATATATGCCTTTTGTGTTTTTCTTCAGTCACATAAAGACTGTTTCAGAACCAACAGCATGTGTACTCTTTAAGACTTCATTACTGGATTTGTCTCCATTTATTATTGAATAAAATGTGAATAAGACCAGAGCCTCCTGCAGGGATTCTGAACAGCTTAATCAGTTGGTTCCCACTTGGAGCTGCAGATAAGAGTGTTTTACTTGATTTGCTCACATTCTACCTGGTTTTCTGAAAAATATCTGGTACTCTGGCTAGTCCAGGAAATGGGAATTGCGGGCCTCTGAGTGTGCTGAAACCAACGTCAAACGAATGAAGAGAAAGTTACTAAACTCACCCATTCACATTTTTAAAATGGTATAGCTTATGTCTTAGTGGATATAAGCCATGTTGACTTGGTACCTTTTACGGCGAGGCAGTCACATCTTGCTTCCTCTGTGGTTGAGTCATGACTGCAGACTGAAACTTTCCCTATAATTCTCGTTGCCACACCTCTACTTCCTGCCTGGTCACCATTGCCCCACCTATACTTCCTGCCTGGCTACTAACCAATAAGCATTTTATTAAAAATAATACAAGTGACATAATAAAAGACCATTGTCCCACAGCACATAAATATTCTCCTGTGTAAATTGGCTTTTCTACACGATCACCAAGATGAACTTTTGCCAAATATTTCCACTTTATAGTCAATAGTTCCTCACGTTCAGGGTTAGAGAGTACATTGGTGACATGCTGGATTTATTCTTTGGGTTCCAAGATGGGAAAGCCATACTCCTGAAAGTCAGAGGGAGCCTATTTCCACCACAGTACAGCAGTGAGAAAACCAAGACAACTTCAACATAGTGAAGATCAGTATCACAGAAAGACTGTCCCCTGACAGAAAATCCAAGAATCCAATAGTTGTTCAGTCTACAAAGCTGGATGTCTCAGTTGGTCATCTTCTATGTGGGAATCCTGGAGAAGTAGGCTCTAATATCAGTGAAGAAATACCTTAGCATCAGGATATAGGAGTGAGGGCAAGTGGGCAAAAGACAAAACTACTTCCATGTCCTGAAGGTGTGGCCTAGATTTAGTGTGGATCTTCTGATTTGGAATGATCCAGTCTGGAAAAGTCCCTCAAAAGTGTGCCCAGATGCTTAGGTTTTTAATTCCAGATGTAGTCAAGTTGTCAACCAAGAACAGCCATCATCACAAGCACTGTACTTCCAAACCCAGGTTCAGCTGTTGGCTACGTGGTAGGCTAGCAAAGTTGAGAGAAATAAGGACTGTGATTATTCACAAGAGTGAATGAGAAGCCCGTCTTCCTAGGGTCAGCAAGGGCTTCTCAAAGGAGAGATTAGAAAGTAGAACAAGTGAACTGGAAATGCAGGTGTCATGAAAATTGGCTGTACCTAGTTGCATTTCAAACATTTGTGTGTTGGTATAGGTAGATGGCCATTTTAAGCTATATATGTACAAACCATCCATTCTTATTGCCTATGTGCATGAATGCAGGTACTTAATCACTACTAAGCTACTATGTTCTAACCACTCTCAGGTACATGCTTCATGAACTATACGTGTGTTGGCTGGGACTGTCTGGCAAAGAAAATGATATTGTATAGACGCTTGTATGGGTTTCGTAAAGGATATCATTACAGGTTTACTTCATTTCCTATTGTTAATAAGCTCTTACAATACTAAATAATGTGAAACAGGCTAGAAAGTTGCTTTAATAAAATAAGTGGTTGGAAAAGTTAGGAGTGGATGGTGTGAGTATCGAGCGGTAACTACCAAAGAACCTGAAGTACATACCCCGTGGGATCTGGGAGTCAGATGTCAATGGAAAACATCCAGACATACTGATGATTGCATTGGTGTGTATTAAAAAATCCAACCCTTTCTATTGCCTTATTCAATGTACAGTTAAGAGATACAAATATGAAATAACTGAAATGATGTTTTCAAATCAATACAAGTTATTCAAAGAAAAATGAGCAGACTTTGTGCGGCAGGCATCTCAGCTTCCAAACTGCCACTACTGCTTCCCTCTTACCACCTAGACTGCTTCTCACTCACACATCTGCCTCAAGTAACTTCATGGCTGCTCTCTCTTCTTCTTGGGGAATTGCAAGGTAAATTTAAAGTCATTATGGTGGTGGCCGCACTCAGGTTCTTATGCATGCTAGGCAATTGAGCTTCTAGAGGCTTACACACCCAGCCTATCTTTCTCTTGGTGATCATGTATTTCCAGTCAGTTTCTTATTTAGCCAGAAAGGTGAGTGCTGTACAAAAGAAGAATATGTAGTCCTTATTTTTCACATTTTACCTACACACAGAAATTAATAAGATGGGAAGATTCCTGTTGTGTACCATAAAGACTTCTACATCTTCTTGCTTCTCTCAGTTAATAAATTTACCTTTTAGTGTGGGAGGGCCTTCTGACTATGTGTTGCTTTTATTGGTTAATGAATAAAGAACGGTCTTGGCCCATAGCATGGGAGGAGGAAGGCGGAGTCAGAGAGAAGCCATGGATCCTCTGCCTGAGACAGACACTGGGAATATTACCAGGTAAGCCACTGCCATGCGGTGAAACACAGATTAATAGAAATGGGTTAAATTGATATATAAGAGTTAGCCAATAAAAAGCTAGTGCTAATGGGTCAAACAGTGTTTTAATTAATATGGTTTCTGTGTGATTATTTTGAGTCTAAGCAGCTGGGAACAAACAAGTGGCCTCCTTACAACAACCTTTAGTATTTACAAATACATTTTTGTGTCTTTATTCCCATAGTCTGCTGCTACCAAGATCCATTTCTAGTTTACAATGATTTAAGGGCTGGTTGATAGTATTTCTTTTGCTTTCATTATTATCTTTATTGACAAGGATACCTATGTTGAAAGGCACTAGCATACTTAACGTAAAGATTTTAGATCCTCAGCCAATCACTACCATGATCACTTGTGGTCCTGGACAATGGATCCTGAACTGTATAAAATAGAAAAAGCAAGCCAACTGCTCATCTACCTGCATTTATCTCATCTATTTCCTGATTGTGAATGAGATGTGCCTGGCTGCGGCTGCGCTACCCATCACAGACTATACCGTGAAGAGTCAGGTAGACCAAACTCTTACACTCTTTAAGTTGCCTTAAGACAGCAGTTATAACCAACTATTAGATTGTATGTTTTAGGTTGCTTTTACCCCTTAAAAAATCCCTGTGACAATTCTCCACTTCCACCCTTGTATCCCCTGGTGATCATAAATCTGCCTTGATTCTTTTCTTTTTTTTATTGTTTATTTTCACATCTAGGCATTCCATATAAACAAAACCATGCAAACTCATGGTTCTTTGTATTTCACTTTTTTTTTGCATAGCACAATATTTTCAAAATTCACCCATAGTGTGGTCTTGCATCAGTTTAGGGGATTGCATATTTCATTTCTTTGTACTACCAAGTGATAGTCAACTTATAATAGACAATATTTTGCTTGTCTTCTCATCAGCTGGTGATTTTTAATTGCCTTTTCTTTTATGAATAATGTTATCGTGAACAATCTTGTACAGTCTTTCTGTGGTTATGTTTTCACTTTTGACGTATATATACCTAAGAGTTGAGTTGTTGAGTTCCAGCTGGAGTGGGATTGTTGTACCCAATGACACTTGATTGGGGAAAAGAGATTTTCCCTTTCCTAGCAAGTATCAATTGTAATTGGCTTCTTTGCCTATAGGTGGGACTTTGTGACCACATCCATTCACTGGGATGGAACTTTTGTCTGGCTTGGATTTGTACAGGTCTTGTGCATGAGACATCACAGTCTCTGTGGGTTCATATGGGCATCAGTCCTGCGGCCTCTGGATGACACTTCCAATGGAGACATCCGTCACCTCTAGCTCATACACGCTTCCCGTTATTTCTTCTGCATTGATACCTTGAGGGGAAGGGTTTAAGACATTCTGTTTAGGCTTGAGCGCTCCTAGTTTCCTCATTCTCTGCACATTGTCCATTTTGATTCTGGCTTAATTACCATCTACTGCAAGAAGTTCTTCCCTCTACCTCAAACCTTCTCTTTGCTGTTTCCCACTGCCTATGACACTGCCAAATTAACTTTTAAAGATTCAGCCTGGACAACTCCCCAAAGAGTTTCAGGATTCCATAATGTATTACTGACTTCTCTGTGACTTGTGCTTCCCATGTCTTCTGAAGAGAGGTCAATCTCCTTTGTTCTATTTGGTTATTGTACACTTGCTTCTCTCAGCTGGACCCCTTGTGGGTCAGTGTTGAATCTTATATTCCTATGCATCCACAGGATTCAGTTACATTGCTCAATACAAACTCAGAAACAATTAAAACCCAATCAGTGTCAACACATACACTTCTGTTTTGAAGAGTCTTCATTTTATTTTCTAGATAAACAAACTGTTCAAGTCGCAGATTTTGTTTAGTTCTTCAGTTAAACAAATACACTTGGTAAAGAATTTTCTATCTCCAAAAGGATTGGCAAGCTCTCCAAAGTTGGAAAAGTAAGAATATAATTTTATCTATGCCTGTCAAATTGCTGGATCTGATCACGTCACAGATGGAGGGGAGCAGTCACTGAAAGTATTAAAGAAGTGGTGGGTCTATTTTGTTCCCATGTATTTCTTATTTAGTAAAGAGCATTCTAGAAGGTTAGTGTCTAAGTCCAAGCCTCACATTTCTTTTTCAGAACAAGAGCCTGAGTATCCCTCTACATAGAGATGTTACAGGTTTTGCAAACAGACCTTTTATGAAAGCCATCACATACAGGCACACATGTAAAGTTTGCACATCATAACATGTCAGCTCTCAGAAAACTTTTTAGATTTTTTTTATTACTTTTAGAAAGCACAAAGCCCTTATATTCATAGCTGCTTAAAGACTGCGGGTGACTTTCCAGTAGCAGGCTTGAGAGTTAACCCTAGAGGGCTTGTGTTTTGTTGCAAGAGGAGAAAAATCACCCTGATGCTTTGTTCTCCATCCTCTCCTCCCAAAGAGCTACTCGACCTCGGAAACAAGCAAATCTCATCATGAGCTCAGATAACCCCAGGCTTCAGATCTGTAATCTGACTGTGGCCATCAGCAACCAGAAATGAGTTTTTTCTAATCAGCCTTCTATCAGTGCCCAGTCACTCATATAAAAGAACGCAGGGAGGGAGGCAAGCACACTGCTCTTCAGCACCAGGGTTTCTGGACAGCGCCCCGAGCAGGCTGCTGTCACTGGCCTCTTCCTCCTTCGTCTCTGCCAGGGTTGCCCCTCTGGTCCCCCCTGCTGCTGAGAAAGAAAATTACATCGGGATCCATGCAGCCCGCAATGATGATGTTTTCCAGCAAATACTGGGCCAGGAGAGGGTTGTCCCTGGATTCTGCAGTGCCTGAAGAGCACCAGCTAGTTGGCAGCTTAACAGTGAGTATTTGGCACTCTCTGGTGTTCTCTAGGGCAGCAATTGTCTTAACCTCACCATATGGACACCTGCTGTAGAATAAGCATGCACTTCAACTCCCTCCTCTTCTGTAGTCTTGTCTCACTACCTCCCTTCTGTCTACCTGAGCTCTTCCCAAAGTAAATCAGGGGGTGAATTAGAGTGGAAGGTTATGCGAATCAATCTCCTAAATTCACTCCTCCCTCAAAGTACAGAACATTGAAAGGCCGATAGGAAGATTTGGGAGAAAGAATTAAATATATTTCGATGGTTTCTACAAGACAGTGCATCTCAGAATGTGTTTTCTTGAATTGAAGTGCAGGTTTTGAAATAAAAGAGGAACCATTACCATCCAGAGGTTTTCCTGCATGCCACATTATTCCCCTTTGTATAGGTTAATTTATGAACTAATGAAAGAAATACTCCTTGTTTCAATATTTGCAAGATATTTTTGTATTTAAAATACTGACATTAAAGAATGGTATTTGTAAAAGTACAGTTCTTGCAAAGGTTTAGATACTAATCTGAGCAATAGTTATGAGATTTAATAAAAACAGTACTTTTGTTTTATTAACAAAATATACTCAGGCTTCTGTCATTAAATTTTTTAGGGGCTTTTTAGGGGCTGCTTCACTGTTGTCTTTCCTGTTTGTCAACAGATTTCAAATTCAGTTTGTCAGAGAAAAAAAAAATCAAGTTTAATGCCTTAGTTCCATACATGTGCATTCTACTTATTACCTCACAAATGTTGAAAAATAGCCCCAGTAACTTTCTTAGCACTATTTAAATCAATTTGTGAAAATGAGGCCAAGATGTAAAATAGAATTTCTAACACTCAAATATCATGAATATTTGGATAAGAAGTTACATTGAGGAATTCTGGAGTCAGAACAGAATGCTAGGAGGAAAACACAGAAAAAAAACCCCTCAGTTATGGGTAATGTATGACCCTTTCACATAAAAATGCTCCTTAGACATATGAGATCTGGGGATTATGTGGAGATGCTGAAGCAGATGTTGAGACTATGAAGACATTTGAGCTTTTAATGACTAAACCCACTGTCAAATGCCAGTGTTGGTATAAACTTCTCTCCCTGAAGCCATCAATAATAAAATATCCATTCCTATTACATATAAATTCAGCAAGTGAGACAATCTTAATGCATGAAAATAAAGCCAGTAGAGAAATTGAAGGAAGATGGCGGCAAATCCCTTTTCACTGGGGTCCTTATAAATGTGTGGGCCTCGGTTCCATGAGGATGTTGTAGGCTCATGTGATTATCTTCTCCCACCATTAACTAGGGAGACAGCTCTCTGTTTGCCCAACTCTGCATTCATATGTAATGAGTACAAAACAGACCGTCGTAATCTTATATTGTCTGTCAGATGAAAAGTTCCCAGCTTTGTATCTCAAATTCTGTGATGTGCCTTGAATTGCTAGAATCTGTCATTTTTGTCTTTAGCCAGAAGAACTTAGTCATCGCTCAGATTCTCTTGTTTGTTCCTAGTGGTTAGCTAGATGGTTCTTCCTCTCTCTTCTGCCTGTCCAACTGCCTGTTTTATTTGTGACGGGAATGTACTAGTCACTGTCCAGGATCAGCTTCCCACAGCGGGATTGGCTGGACACACTGCTCTGTCATGGGCTTTCTCAATGAGCAGGCAGGTTTAGACTGACGGTTTGGGATGGCAATGTGGGTCTCGATGGAGAAATGATTCTTTTCCACCCATGTCCTGACTTGTTTCAGAATGCAATAAATCCTACTGTTTTCAGAGACTTCATTGAAGCTACCTTTGCTCTTGCCAAAACTATGTTTGGTCTTATGTTTGGTATTTTCGCTAATGAATAAAGTTTACAGATGAACCAACTAAGATAAATGATCAGATTTTATGCTGCAACATTGCCTGAAAAGAAAGGCAGGATTCCTTTCTGAACGGAGTAGGAGGATGGAGGGGGGATAGGATTGGGGTAAGGGTAAGGGAACGGGAAAAGAGGAGGGTGGGGAACAGTGGTTGACATGTAAAATAAGTGAAAAAATTTAATAAAAAAGAGAAAAGAGAAAAAAGAATGGCAGGAATTATCTACTTATATTACTTTATACTATTGCAGTGGTGGTTGTGACTCCCTCTGTGGTTTGGGGTCAAATATTTCTTTCACAGGGGTTGTCTAAGATCATCAGAAATATCAGATATTTACATCACAATTCATCACAGTAGCAAAATTACAGTTATAAAGTAACAACGAAAGTAATTTTATGGTTGGTGGTCACCACAACACGAAGAACTGTATTAAAGGGTCACAGCATTAGAAAAGTTGAGAACCACTGTTCTTACTGATAATTAGGTTTTCGTTACCATCAAACTAAAGGAAACCTGACCTCCCTTTAAGTTAATTCTCTAGACACTACCTTGAAACAGTGCAAAGAGTACCTCAGCAGAGAGTAGACTAGAATTTCAGACAGTTGAGCGCCATGAGGGCTCCACTATGAGCTAGTGTGGTGGATAGGGCGTCCAGCATTCAAGTGGGATCTCTAGACAAATTAAATTATGGAGACCTCTGGAATCTGGATGATATTTGTGCTCCTATTTCTTGAAGCTAAATAAAGCTATTGCTGGCAAGAATGAGGACAAGAGGGGAAGCAAAGAGAGCGGCAGAAATGACACTGTGGAGAGCGGCAAGACAGCAGTTGTGTTCTCCTTGAAGAATGAGGTCGGAGGACTGGTGAAAGCTCTGAGACTCTTCCAGGTAAATGCCCGGTGCCCATTTGTGACTTTACAGTGGCTGTGTGCCTGGCTGCAGACCTGTCCCCTGATCCAAAGCCATTCCCGAGTCCATTTCTGGTTAACATCAGAAAAAACTTCGACGGAACCCAATGTCACGAGACTTTTACAAGGGAAGCTTCCCCTGCCCAACCGTGAAATAAGCAGGGTCACGGGAACTGTAATTTATTAACTCAGAGTTAGCCTATTAGGAATCCTGCACACTGTTGCCAGGTAAGAAAGTCTGTAGTCAAAAATGGGAGCTTTGCAGTTGAAAATGCAAACACCACACACACACACACACACACACACACACACACACACACACACACACACGGTGCTTCAAAATATCAAGAGTCTTTACCCTGCTTTGATTTACTAAATTTGAACTGTGCTTATGTAATGAGGGCATATTTATTGCATAAAGTGAGATACATGAATACAGACACTTCCTTAATAATATGTGGTATGTAAAGCTATATTACTATCTGTCTGTCTGTCCGTCTGTCCGTCCATCCATCTATCTATCTATCTATCTATCTATCTATCTATCTATCTATCTATCTATCTATCTAT